GCTCTAAATGAAAAGAAAACTGTTCAGCTGAACTACTCTACTAAAAATAAAGACACAAACGTATTAATCCCTGGGATAGAAGCACAAAATAGTACCAAATATCTTGGCATTATCATGGATTCAAAACTGACATGGAAACAGCACATTGACCAACTCTGCAAGAAGCTACGCTCTGGCATTCATGTCATCAGGCGAATGAAGCAGGTTGGTGGTCTGGACACCGCAAAAACAGCCTACCATGCCCTGGTCGAGTCACACCTCAGGTATGGTCTGGTGGTCTGGGGAAGTACATCCAACAACTACCTAAAAAGAGTACTTATCCAACAAAAAAGAGCTATAAGATGCCTAGCAGGCCTTCAATATCAAGAAAGCAGTCGTGATGCATTTAAGGAACTAAAAATCCTCACACTGACATCACTTTACATCCGTGAGGCAATTCTCCATGCCATCTCCACAAACCAAACAAGAAACAGAGACATTCACCATCACAATACACGGAACGCCTCAAGCTTTGCAATACCACCTCACCATCTAAGTCTCTTTGAAAAGAAGCCATCGTACAAAGGGGCCCTGTATTTCAACAACCTACCAGAACAACTTAGAAATGAACCAACTCACCGTTTCAAGAACCAATTAACAACATGGCTGCAAGAAAGGCCATTCTACTCAGAAAAAGAATTCCTTGACAACCAGCTTTAACAACATATTAAATCAACAAATTTTAATTATTATTCTGACGCATGTACTGTTCTCAACGAATATGTAAATAAAGATCATTGTCTATTGTCTATTGTCTATTGGCCTAGGCCTAGATTGGTTTTGGGAGGTTCCAAGCTTGGCCTTCCTTTTAGTTCTATTTTTTGCAGTTTGCCATTCACCATCATTCAATTCACCTTCGATTTCGATAGAATTTGTATCACTGCTAGCCAGTGGCTTCCAAACAGGCATAGGTGTACTTTCTAGGGGATCTGCTGCATTGTCTCCAGGGCTAGGCTCAAGCTGGGCAGGCTTGAAGCCGGGTTTAGAAGGGCTAGTAGGCCTACTTTGAGTTTGTTGGTTACGATGCAGGGGCATATTAGAATTATTTTTGTCACCTTTTACAGCTTCTACAAATGAGGAAGGCTTCTTTATCTCATTTGTAGGCGTCATAATATGATTTCTAGCTGATTCGCTAGCGTCAAGTGAAGTTGCTTTAGAGGTTAAATGATCTGTCATATCACGTAACTGGAGCTTGATTGCCGCATTTTCATTCCCGAATTCAGAAAGTCTTTCTGACAGGGATAAATAGTTCTTACTTATCTCACTTAACTCTGAAACAATAATGTTAAGTATTGCGGTATTATCGCTTTGATCGTTTTCAGAATCCGCGGACATAACCGTTGTTCTTGATACAGAATTAGTACCGGTGTCAGCAGACGACGTCACGCACTCAGTACATAGCCACAATAGACCCGGCATTTTAGCGGCGATGCGCTTGTAATGATCGTAATGAGACTTGATAATATTAGCACACGATATATGCCACCACTTTTTGCACTTTCCGAAACATAACACTGCATTATGCCTATCCAAAACCACTTTTTGGCAGGAGCCACAGTGGCACTTTTGTTCACTCGCCGCCATCTTGCCACTCCCATTCAATTAACTACAAACAAAAATTTCTCATATTAAAAGGTTGCCCAAAAATAAAATAATGTTCTAAGATATTAGGATTTTTGTGAGGTAAGCTTGCTCTTGTGTTCTACATTCTACGTAAGTTAGTGTGATACATGCAATGAGTGGCTTTGAAGTAATTAGACATTATAGTACACTCTGGACTATCCAGGTCTCGGTTATCCAAGTCCATGGCTCTTGTGATCTACATTCTACGTTAGTTAGTGTGATACGTGCAATGAGTGGCTTTGAAGAAATTAGACATTATAGTACACTCTTGACTATCCAGGTCTCGGTTATCCAAGTATAATAACCGTAGGTTTCGGTTGTCCTGAAGTTCCATAATACCCTGGAACTTCTGGCTTATCGGAACTGATAAGCCAGATCAAGGGGCGCTAACTCGCTCCCCTGCTGCCGCTTGTTGATGACAACAATAGGTGCGCAGCCAAATAACGAAAACTTACCCCACTGGGAAAAAAGGCTGGTTACACACTAACTATGATGATCTAGTATTAACCCTAGAGTGGTGTCTTCAGTCTGTGAGTGTTTTATTTCACATTAAACCCCTTAAAAATGTATTAGTTTGATAATTTTACACAATTTCATCTTTTATGGTTACAGTCATATAAAAAAAATCTACAAAATTTGAAAACGGTTTTACAGACCGAAGACCTGTGATAAAAATAAAGACACCACTCTAGGGTTAAGAACATGGTGTGTATCTATCTATCTATACTCATATGAATAACGTTTGTACACAATTATTTAAAAAACTGCTCCTACGATTTCCTCCAAATTGTTAGAAATATCTTAGTTTTAGGCTAAAAACAATATCCAGCTAGGCTCTGTTCTGGGAAAATCAGTTTTTCGTTAAAAACTTCAAATTAAATTTTAATATTTTTAACATTAGTCTTAGGTCTATGGACTGTCAAGTAGCTATGGCAGTTTTACGAAAATGTAAACAAATGAATAGTGACATATGCTTTTAACAAATCATCTACAGTACAGAAGCAAATTACAAAATACAGTACATAGGACCAATGAATGCTAATGGGTGCTGGTTGGTTGTAAGGTAGCAGGAGAAAAAAGTTCCAAGATCGGTACCTTCCCGGGCTCAAGGACCCAGATGGCCACCGTCCTGGAAATATCAGGGAACCACTGAGGGGAGCGTCGGTTCTGATATTGCTCACTCAGCAGCAAAATATCGGCGCCTTGCTCGGTTTCGAATTGGTACAGCTGTCCTGCTCCTTTGGATGTTAAGCTGAAGCAGTGGCGGCTCTAGGACCTTGTCAAACCCCCTGTTTTATTGGGGGGTGCTCCACAACCCCCAAAACCCCCCAGGAGCCCCCCCAATATAAGAGGGGGGTCCGGGAAAATTGTATAGTTTTAAAGCAGTTTGGTGACTTTCTAAAGCAATTTTTAACGCCTAAAACTATGTCCAACAGTCCAAAAACTCCCATTTCACCCCTTGTTTGTCATGAGCAAGTAGACATAAGTAGAGTCGAGTAAAGTATTTTTTTGAACCTTCATAGTTTTACCAATCTATTTAATAGATCAGATTTATTAGCCTAATAGAATTAGGTCTATATTAAATATGAATAGATATTGCAAAACATAAAAATTAATCCTCTGTTGTGGTTTAGTTTTATAATTTAACTTACACTTTTTAAACCTAGTATTAATTTTTACTACTAAAATTCGGGGGAGGGGGGTTTGACCCCCCCCCCCCCAGCTACGGCCTTGTAAAACGGGTCTACACTGTATTGAAAATATAACTAACAATTAACAATTTAATACTAAAACATCCTTGGCAATAAGGTAAGGCCCAACTATAATAGTAGTTTACAGTAATAGTTTATTCCCTATATGGAAAATTCACGGAAAAAATGTATATATGGAAAAAATATATGTAGTGCGACTGGGTACAGGGTTAATCCCCTTTCTTACAATAGATATCTCAAGCAGCAAGTTGCTGTCACAATTTCATTTGTTTTTAAATCGATTACATCATGAATATCGGAAATGCTTTCTAAGGCTATTTCAGTTTTGGGTGGCGAAGATGACTTCCATCACTAAACTATTGTGCATCATAAGGAAATACAGGAAAGTAGAGAGCTATCTGTCTAAGTGAATAAAAACTTAAAAAATATTAAAAGAATTAGAAGAATCAATAAATTTTGATCCTGAAGTAGATATTTCATATAATTATGTGGACCCCTTGGAGCATTTTTATAATAAAAAATTTAGTTGGATGAGCCAATCATAGAATGTTTAGTGTAGAAATGCTGATTCTCCCTAATTCTTATGATTTAAATGTGTACTATTCTACAGATACCAGTAATTTATGTCAGAAATCTACTCCTCTTGAGTTGATTACCAGACCTATACTCTGATTATCGAAAGAATGTGCCTTGCGGAGCGGCCGTGTGTCGACCGAGTCCAGCTACAAACATTCTATTTCACAAACTCGTGGAAACGTAACACAGAAGGTTAGAAATTTCCAATGAACGGTGTTCAAATAGTCAGTTAAATACGGTTTCAGCGCATGTTTTAAATATTTATTATCTTATTTCGATTAATTAATATTTATAGTTATATTTGTAAAAACACGAATTTGAAAAATTTTAATTCCGATTCGTGTTTTTACAAATATAACTACAAATATTAATTCATCGGAATAAGTTAGAAAATATTTAAAACATGCGCTTAAAACGTGCTTAACTGATTATTTAAACACCGTTTATTAGAAATTTCTAACCTTCTGTGTTACGTTCCCACAAGTTTGTGAAACAGAAGGTTTATACTAAAACTCGCTCACCGCACGGCCGCTCCGCAAGGCACATTCTTTCGAAAATCAGAGTATAGCTTAGATAGCATTCAACCCCTCAATCTACAGTACCAGGTCTACTGCACTAATAAATCTGGTCAACCAAAAGCCCAAGCTTAGTAGTTCTTAATTTGACTTCCAGGCTGCAGCACATGATATGTCGATTTATACTCACAAGATAGACAGTTGTAAACTAAAGTTTTGTTATGTCACCCATGTATTTGCCATTTCGACCCTGGAGCTCAAAAGGATAAACAACACAAAAACCAGAATTTCAAGTTGAAAGTCACTAAGAACACTCACTCATATCATTGTACAATTGAGCTGGACAAATGTGTAGTCATTCAAATGAATTGTGTTTCCTAAACTGTCCTGTGGACAGCATCGACTCACAGGTACACGTCTAGATAGGTTGGTTTGGACTTATATGGTGTACAGCACCGAAAATGCATGTCACGCTCATCCAAGCAGGATAATGTCGTATACTAGCTGGATAACTCTGGATTACTCATTATGTTAGCAGGATGGAGAACTGGGGAGTGCCACAACAAGGTAAAGTCTGCTCCAACGTTGGATGAGATAACCAACAGAGTATTTGAAGAGTTGCTCCAGGGCAAAGCTGACAACCTCACTCAGGCCTCGGACCAGAGTTCTGTGAGGGTAAGTGAACTGAGGCTATCTAGATCAAATTTGGGGTTGCTCTGATACCGGACCTAGAATGTGGGAAGTTATTCATATGTGATAACTCTGCAAAAATAAGTTTAAGATTGTGAATATTTTTTAATTATTTTGAAATAGAAACCTGTCATAAAATGTTCAAACACTATGTTACTTATTTATTTCCATTCCTATTATTTATTACAAAGCAATCTAATCTTTTTCAATTTGAACTGTGTCTAATTTTATTTTTGCCCTATATTGGGTCTTAATATGATGTGGCGTTTTAACCTATGTTATTGGCGAATGAGGTCGATTGATTGACTGTTTTGACCAAATCTTTCGTATAGGAAACGACAACTGGATCCTTTTATTTAACCGGAGGAGACAATTTACCCAAAGATCCAGCTTTGATGATTTCTAATACTAATTGAACCATTTTAACTACAGAAATACCATGGTCTTTGAATATATGCAATAACTATTAATCAGACAACTAGACACAACGTGAACTAACATTTGAATAAATAAATACTGAAATTGAAAAGCGACGCTAGAAATAAGAAAAGAATCTGAAAAGAACAATCATGAAAATTTAGAGTAACTACATATCTAACGCCGTACCTCTCGTGGGGGCCTTGCCCCCATATACCCCGACTCCTAGCAGACATCCATCTTGTTCCACATCAGCAACACCAAGACCGGCGTCCTGATTTCCTTAACTCACCTCACGTACTCTCCGCCCATGCGCGAGTCGCCGTGAGTTGAAGAGTGCCTTCTTGACGGGACATTTGAGTTGGGTAGATCAGGTTGTGGAGGCTGATCTCCACAATGATTCAATTACCACATAATATAACTAATGTATTGGTTTTCTAGTCCGATGATTGGGGTTCAGAGCACTCTTCAGGAATCCTTGGGCGTTTTCTCAGGAGAGACTCAGCTTTTATAGAGAAATCTAAGGTAAACCATTACTCTTTAAATTAATGTAAAAGTGTAGCTCACTAGCAATTTTATTAATTTCCTGTTTAATTGAAGGGTACTCACACTCTCAACTTGTGGGTGGATTAGGTTGGTTGTTTTTCAAAAATTTACACATAAACATAAACATTGTTCAACTCTCATATGTGTCTTGTTAAAATATCTAGGTTTACATTCAACTATGTTATTGAAGAAGTGAATGTCAATATTTATCTGCTCCTAAATATATTTAAATAATTGAATATATTATTACCCTTCTGTCATCAAACACCTACAGTAAACCAGTCTTGTTGGGAAGCTGGTTTAAGTACAATCAAAATACTTGGATTAATTTTGTCTTAAAAAGGCTGAGCCACAGCCAGTGCAATTTTCTCTTAGAACAGACTATAGTTATTGTACAGGTCATAGTTAGACATCTGCCAATACAAGGGCAGTGACAAGATAGTATAGATGGGGCGTGGTGGCAAGTGTTGGAAACAATTCAGTTTTTAAATATTTAATAAATAACTTCTTGATCAGCATTGTACGTGTTATTAAATTTACGGAAAGTAAATAATTAAACGTCTTATAACACTTAAAACATATATTTACACTTATACTGTTACTCATAAGACGGTAAATATACAAAAAGATGGTAAGTGGTGATCGATTCAATGATGATGAATGTAAAATGTTCCAAAAGTCCTTAAAATACAATGTGAACTTAGACTACAAAACACAAGAAATTGAAGATGAACTTATTGAAATAGATGCAGCACTAAGACTTAAAGATAAAGAAATACAAGATCCAATTAAATGTAACTTTATTCATGAACTAAATAAAACTGACTATAAATTCAAACAAAAGAAAGTTAAAGTAAAATCAATTAACCTTTCAGAGGGCGCATTAGTTTTTAAAACGGAAGAGGGCGCACCCGGAGGTTACTTCCGGGTCAATAAAAACGAACATTTATGACGTAAAATTTTATTTTAGTACACAAATTAAGTTTTATTTTGAATTTTAAACATCAAAAATATGTTTAGTGAACTCTTAATTGTACAATAATTTAATTTAGATTTTATAAATATAAAATTAAACTATTATTCTATCAAATTTTCTAACATAAAAGTATATGAAGAAATCTTTTACAAGAATATATTCAAGAAGTTAATTTAAATTTTACCACAATGTCCTATAATGTGATTTTAATTGATAACACTCTCAATACCCGATGTTTTAAGTAATTTAAGATAATGGGTATCTTAATACTAAATGGCTCTGTACAGTTCTCGCAGCTAGTCTGGGCGCGCGGACCCTTGTGTACTAACCGTCCCCCACGCCAAAGCCATGAAGACAGCAGTGAGGCGCTGAACAACCCCAGTGTGCCGTGTGGGCCGAATGTTTTTGGAAACGAGCAATAAACACTCCCCTCTACACCCCCTGCCCTAGCGCGGCCACGCGCCCAGACTAGCTGCGAGAACTGTCCATACGTCGTTCGTGAATCTCCCTTTCAGCATGGCTAAGAGTGTTGCAATTCGAAATTTAACTTCTTCTGTAATCTTTTAAAAACTATATATTTACTAAATAATGACATGAATCGTAAAAAAATAATTATTTACAGTAATAGTTTACACGCAATAATTAACGCACACACTAAACTAGAGGTCGCATCACGGAAGTTGCCTCCAGGCTGTACGAGAATCGGCAGAGCGCACACGGAAGTTACTTCCAGCCTCTTACAAAACTGAACAAAACTAACAAATATAAAATAGTAGGGGTGAGTTTTGACCTTCACTCTATTCCAGGAATGAGGCGCGTGAGGTACAGTGACACTCACACTGCCGACACCACTCAAAATAATATAATCGCGAAAAATAAAACATCCATGGAGGTTACTTCCGTGATGCGACCTCTGGAAGGTTAAAGAATTGAAAACCATCCATTCAATATCAGAAAAACTTAATGAAAACCATTCAATCATTACAATACCCCCGCCGCAGCAAACCTGCAGACTAAGCGAATTTCCATTTGACTGATTGGATTTACACTGAAATGTCTACTTAAAAATATAACATTTATTCTTTATTTAGAATTAGTTTAACAAGTACTTAGGTTTGCTGCATCAGGGAGGGTAAAACTGTTTTTTTTTTTGTAAAATGTTAATAGTTAGTAAGAAATAAAAACATTTTCCAAATTTGATCAAAATATGTTCACAAACAAGCAAACTACAACAGTTTACTTATTCTCCATAAGAATAACATGGGAATTTTAAATTTACAATTTTTTGGAATTTTCTCCGTAACCATTAGGCGCATAATAACGCTTCAATATACTAAATTACTTGTTTTTTTAAGCTCTACAAAATGGTTTGGAAAGAAATTGCTAAATTTGATGTTTTTTGGGTCAAAAATGGGAAAAACCTATTTTTACCCCATAAAACCCCCCGTAAACCCCCGTTCCCATGGTCCGATCATGCTGGATCGCGAACTCGTTCGAATAAACGTACGTTTACACGTTTGTACCAAATTTCATCAAAATCGGATCATTTTTGCTCGAGTTATCGTGCTGACACACACATATATATATATATATATATATGAATTTGAACGGATGGTGTTTTTGGCCTCTAGGGACCTCAAAACAAAAAAAAATCGGTCCCGCGTCCAGGTCTTACCATGAGTACTACGGTAATAGTTTATTCCCTATATGGGAAATTCGCTAAAAGCAGATAAAAGTAATACAGTCATCGTAATGACAAAAGAAGACTACCACAAGAAAGTAACAGAATTTATTGATAATAATCAATTTAAAGAATTTGCAAAAAGATCCAACACAAGAATATGACAAAACCCTCAATAATACAATTACAACATGCAAAACACTTACAAAAGCAAAGATTGAAAGCTATTAACCCTACAGTACCGAATTTAAGAGCTCAGCCCAAAATGCGCAAACCAAACATCCCAATAAGGCCAATCGTAAATTACCAAAACGCTCAAGGATATAAAATTATTAAGTATCTTAACAAACAAATTCATGAATGTGTTTAACAAATACAACCAATTATAATGTGAAAAATTCTAAAGACCTTACAACAAAAATCAAAGATATCAAAATACCAACAGATACTATTTTTGTATCATTTGACATAACCAACATGTACACTAACATTCCAGTACAAGATACAATCAAAATTCTTAAAAATAATTTAAACCAAAATCAATCAATTAATTACAAATCACAAAATTGATGACATAATTAAATTAACGAAAAACGTAACTAATTAAAATTATTTTCAGTTTGATTCTAAAATGTACAAACAATATCATGGTCTAGCGATGTGATCACCACTTTCTGGCCTATTAGCTGACATGTATTTGAATGATTTAGAAGAAAATAAGATAATGAACAAAAATAACCTTCACAAGGAAACATAATATATTGGAACAGATATGTAGATGACATGTTATGTCTATTCAAAGGAAATTAAAAATCGTGCACTGACTTTTTATCCTATTTAAACAGAATATCTTAGAAAATAAAATTCACAATGGAAATACGAAAAGATAAAATCAATTTTCTCGACTTAACAATTGGAAAAAACAATGACAAACATTATTTTAAAATTTTTATAAAAGCCACTCAAACAGGTCTTGTTATTCCTTCTGACTCAAATGCACCGTGGCAACATAAAATGGCAAGCTTCAACTCTATGGTACACAAAATGGTACGAGTACCTTTAAATTAAAATTATTACAATTTGGAAAAAACATTATAAAGACGTAGCTACAAGAAATGGATACAAAGATAGTTTAGACAAATTAATCAAGAAAATGAAAAATAAGAAAACTCAAAATTTAGAAAAAGAATAGAAGAAGGAGTTTAGTTGTCTTCCGTACAGTTTGGTATTAAACAAACCGATCAGAAAAACATTTCAAGCATCTAAATTCAAAATTAGCTATAGATCTAGAAACAACACATTCAATTTAATTAATAAACTATCAAAGAAGAACCCACATACAATTGACAAAAATAAAAATCTGGAATATACAAAATGTCTAAATATTGACCCAAATTCTACATTGGTCAGACTGGAAGAGCATTTTCATACAGATTCAAAGAACATATCCAAGCCGTAAAATCAAACAATTAAACATCCCAACGCTCAATGTATGTAGAACATATATTAGAAAATAATCATAATTATGGCAAATTAGAAGAATGTGTCAAAATTCTAAATTATGAGAAAAAGGGTGAAAAATGGATATAAAAGAAGAATTACAAATATACCTACACTCAAAAGAACACGGCGACCAAATTCTTAATGTAATGCAAAAAAAAAAAAAAATCCAATTCACAAAAAATCAAACAAATCAGAGAAGAATCTTACACATTCACATGTTAAAAAAGTACACCTTACCATTTAATCAAAATTTACTATGAATTCAAAACATATGTTATTAACTATTTATTTATTTAATTTGTTTACATACACATACTTTTATAACACTCATACTGTGATCATGGCCTTAGTGCCGAAATACGTATCAGTTTAACCCTTAGAGTGCCAGGCGAGAAATAAAAGTAACGCTCAAAAAATGCCGATGATTTTTCCCAAAGGTCGCGCTAAAAATGCCGAGCGCGATCTGGCGATTTTTAGGTTAAAATTTCGTAAAAATCTAATTTTCGATATTTCGACCAACGAAAATCGATGTATCGCATCTAGTAACTTTCGACTCAATGTTAATATATGGGTTAAAAGAATCCGAGTATCCATTCGGTTGTTATGACAACTGTTCGATCATTACAAAACGTCCGGTCAGCCGGACGTTGGCACTTTTGGCTCTTTCTAAAAACGTCCGGTCGGCCGGACGTCGGCACTTTTGGCTCGTTTTAAAAACGTCCGGTTCCCCGGACGTTGGCACTCAAAGGGTTAAATAAAAATGAATTTCAGGGTACTCTGGTTTTTATTATTTCAATTATATATGTATATAGGGTGTATATGAAGTCCCGTACGGACAATATTTTTTAACCCTCCGAGTGTTATTTTCGCTGCAGCGACACATAACACACTTTGTGTAGTGTTTTGTGTCGCTTCAGCGACTCACTTGATGATCCTGAAGAAGTAGGTAGTGATATTGATGTAAATTATCAGCCAGATTCCTAGCTATGGTTAGGCTATGCATTCTTAGCTAAACGCTATGTACTGAAATCTGTTTTTTGCCCATAACTTATTTATTTGCAAATCTACTTCCTTATATTATTATATATTTGTAATCCTCGTAAAATTTAGAACAAAGTGGTTATTTTCAAATATTTATAGGCCTATAATTTATACAATTTCATTGAGCACGAACTTATTTATTTATTTTTTTTTCCAAAATATTTTTTTTTACCTAAAAGTTTTTTGAAACAAATGTTCCTTATGTTCTATGTATAATATTGAAGCCCATGATTTTCCAATCAAAATGGTATATAGAACAGTATAATTAACATTGTTTTCAAGCTTCTCAGATCCGTTTTAATAAAACCTTGCAAATGAGCAAAAAATAGGCAGACATTAAGGCCAAAACTAGGGACACTCAGAGGGTTAAACGACAACAGATAAATCAATAAGATTTGGTACATCAACACCACACCTAAAAATCTACTTTTTCAAGGAACTGTGAATTTTCTGTCTTATTATGGGGACGTCCCGCAAGGAGTCAGAAGGAAATCTTAAATAGGAGCATAGGTCAATATGCACTGCACATCAAATGAAAGGTCTTTTTTAGTAGAATACAATGCCGCAAACCGCGTTTCAAAAGGTTGATCCTGCGCAAAATAGCGGCCGTTCAAAGATTTCTTGAATCCGCCATTTTGAATCTTTGAACGACTGCCATTTTTTACTCAGGCGTTCTTTTGAGCTTGAATTTACGGCATTGTAATCTACTAGTGAAGACCTTTAATTTGATGTGCATATTGACCTATGCTTACGTTAACAATTTTCTTCCGATTCCTAGGGCTGTGCCCCCTGAGGAGTAAGCGTATAATAGCAATGCAAATTAAATTAATCTTTGAACGGCCGCTATTTTGCGCAGGATCAACCTTTTGAAATGCGGTTTGCGGCATTGTATTCTACTAAAAAAGACCTTTCATTTGATGTGCAGTGCATATTGACCTATGCTCCTATTTAAGGTTTCCTTCTGCGGGACGTCCCCATGATATGACAGAAAATTCATAGTTTCTTGAAAAAGTAGATTTTTAGGTGTGGTGTTGATGTACCAAATCTTATTGATTTATCTGTTGTCGTTTAGAAATATAAGCCCGTGCGGGACTTTATATACACCCTGTATATATATATATATGACTGACCGGACGATAACTTGAGTAATTTTTGCCTGATTTTGATAAAATTTGGTTTGAAGGTGTAAGGTGGGATAAACTTGAATGAGTTCGCAAACCAGCCTGATCGGACCGTGGGAACGGGGTTTTATGGGGTAAAAATGGGGTTCTCATATTTTACCCTTAACCCCCTAAGTGTCCATAGTAATGGTATTAATGTCGGCCCATTTATTGCGCAAACGTAGGGTTTTATTAAAATGTATCTTAGAAACTTAAAAACACTCTAAAGTATACTGTTTTATATATAATTTTGTTTCAAAAATTATGAGCTTCAATGTAATATATAAAACATTACAACAAATATTTTCAACAATTTTTGTGGGGCTAACATTTCTCAAAAATTATAAAATAAATGAAAAAAATTTATGTTTGCGCTCAATAAATTTTTATAATTTTAGGTCTACAAATATTTCAAAATAGCCACTTTGTTCTAAGTTTTATGAGGATTCCAAAAATATAATAATATAAGGAAGTAGGTTTGCAAATAAATAAGTTATGGGTGAAAAACAGATTTCGTACATTTAGCTAAGAATGCCTAGCCTAACCATAGCTAGGAATCTGGCAGATAATTTACATCAATATCTCTACCTACTTCTTCAGGATCATCAACCAGTCCTTCAAAATCACTTAAATCTTCTTATAATGCACCACGTATATCACTACTTTGTATTTTTAACACTAAAACAATGATAAACATAATAAAACACATCAGTCATCGGTGCGAGGTTAACCAAGTTGTTTACAAATACGCACGTCATCTGTCTGCTACAATATTTTCGGAACTAAAATGAAAAGCGTCTAGAAACAGACATCAGGAGAAAGCTTAGAATCTGCCGAAAACAACGATACCAATCTCGGTCCAGATCAATCTGATTCGGTCAGTCCCAGAACCTTCGCCGTAAACGATGTTTGTGTGTCGCAAAAGCGACGCATAACACCACGGCGGGTGTGTTGTGCGTCGATTACGCGACGCTTAACACTCAGAGGGTTAAAACACAAAATTTTCAATTTTTCTTCAGACCTTTAAAAAGAGCTTAAAAAAAACAATTCAGTATATCAAAGTGTTTTTGTACAGTGATTGGTTACAGAGAAAATTCAAAAAATTGTAAATTTAAAATTCCCATGTTATTCTTATGGAGAATATTGTATAATGTTGTAGTTAGCTTGTTTATGAATATATTTTGATCAAACTTGGCGGATTTATTTATTTCATGCTAAGCTATTGATATTTTAATAAAAATCGCACTTTATTAGTTTCCCTGTAGCACCTAACCTAGGTACTCGTTAAACATAAATGTTAATTTAATAGATTAATTGAAAATCAATCCAGGCAAATGGAAATTCGCTTAGTCGGCAGGTTTGTTGCAGCGGGGGTATTTTCTTTATCCACACTGGTAATCAAATTTCACTTGCATCAGTTACCATTTGGCTTAACTATTAATTCCAAAATGATGATTGGTTTCCAGGACGGGCGACACAAAAACAAGAAAGTGGCCAAGTACTCAGCCTTAGGCAGCGAGGAAGGGACCCGAGGGAAGGCCGCTCTTAGCAAGTTACCTCCTCTCATAGCCAAGTGGAAGCCCCAAGCCAAGACAGATGGCAAGTCTGAGAGTGATGGTGAGTGTTGATTACAGTAACAGGTAGGGGTCTGCGGGTCCCCGATTTTTTCGGGTCGGGTCGGGCCAGCGGAAGGCCCGAGAGACCGGGTCGGGTCAGAGATTTGTTCGGGCCAAGATCGGGTCGGGCCAAAAAAAATAATTATTAGGCTATTTTTAAAGTTATAAAAAGTAATTTTCAAAGAAACAGTCTTATATACATTATTACAGAGGAATTAAAATGTTAAAATTAGAATTAAATATTAAGTTTGCTCACGTTTAAGAACAAAGACACAACAAAGCAATTATTGCCTTACTGTCACTAGCCAGAGCCAGTCGTCTACTGACAAAACAAAAGCCGTGACGCAACAGTGCAAAGAAAACGAAGTCAAAAGAAAGACTATTTATCCAGAGGTACCAGTTTAATTATTTATTGTTTATTCCATAACTAGTTTAAATTATATATTAGTATTTTATTTACATAATAAATTATAAACAAAAGAAATATCTGATATAGTGTACAGATCTGTATCTTGTTCTTTTATTTTCCCATTGTCCTTTTTGTCATTCAGTAACAAAACAAAACAACACTTCTGATCGTCTGGTTCGGCATTTTATGGTCACCATTTAATTTTTTTTTTAAGTATCAAGTATCAACAAGTCTACAAAGAGGTTAGGCCTAAATATTTTATAACTTTATGAAAGTTTTCATCAGTAAAATTATTTTTTTCTTAAGTTAGATTGAGTTTCACAAAAGATATTTCTAAGATCCAATACAATATTTACAAGACACAAACTACCATGAATTAATTTCTTTGGAAATTATCTGTAACAGTTTTATATTTTTGAATAAAGAAAATATATCTTTTTGTCTCTACTTCCTTGTTTTGTTACTTGTATTTTGTCAGCAATTGGAACAACCGGGTGGCGTAATAGTGGTGGGGGAGGGGGAGGGTCTATGACCTTGAGTGTCCCCGGGCCTGGCTCGAGTTGTGTAAGATGAGAGGGGAGGGGAGGGGGAGGGTCTGTAACCTTGAGTGTCCCCGGGCCCGGCTGTGAGAGTGATTCATGGTTTTTTGTTTACATTCTACTACCCTTCCTTCCGAGAAAAAGACCCTACAGTTTCAAAAACATTGACTTACAGTATAAAAACATTGAGTTGTGTTGCTAATTAGGGCACTATAATGTCTCTGCTGTCTGCTTATGTTGCCAAATTAGCATTTAACTTTCTTTTCTCTTGATTTAATATAATTTTCTATATATTAAGAGTTCCTTTTCGGGTACCTAATAATTGTGATATTGTTTGACTTGAGTTTATGGATTTTTAATTCTTTTCATTTATTAGCTAAAATCAGTTGTTTTAGGATTTTAATCTCTTGCAATACCTATAACTGTGCCTATAACTGTGTATCCATAACTGTGTATGACATGATATGCAATTTTTACAGTCTTTACTATAACTATACCATAAACAATGTATGTGTGTTATATTTATTGTTTTAGAGTTTTATAGTAAATTAGTTTACACAATATCTTTTCTTCAATGAGTTCTCCACTTGTCATGTTGCTTAGTCTATTACTATTTTAGGCCCTATAAAAAATAATTCCCTATGTAAAGCTGTAGGCATACTAATGCCAATAATAGACAATTCTTTATTTATGATGATGTAACTAATAATGCTATTGTAAGTGTGAGAGGAGGTTAGGAGGCAGTGAATGAATGATTCATATTGCATGGTGGAAACATAGAATTTTTATTTTCTTCTTGCTTGCAGTCTTGAAGCCACAGGCCCTAAACTTGTGATAAGGTTAATTGATTTGTTTATGATCCATTTATATTAAGTTCCTTTACAAACTTGTTGTAATATAGCTGTTTAGATATTTCAACAGTTATGAAAATGGGAAAGAATGGCTTGATAAAAAAAATTATTTTCTTCTTTCTTGCAGTTGAGGCAACTCCTAAGCTGTAAATAAGTTATGAACATGAAATAATATACATAAATACAATCTTTTTCCATATGTTATTTTCAAGTAATATTATAAACACAGATAGGAGTTAAAAAAATCAAAAAAATCCGGTAATTAATAATTTTTGGCCCGACCCGATTTTGGCCCGAAACCCGAGGACCAAAATTATTGGCCCGACCCGACCCGACCCGAACCAAAAAAGTCTGACCCGCAGACCCCTAGTAACAGGTCACTCATATATAACTAAATGGAGCCACAAGCCAAGACTCAAATAACGGAAAAAGATGTCAAGTAAACTTTCCAGAGGATCATAAAGCAACTCAATATGAACTAGTTAGTGTGGTTGTTTCTGGAAGTAGGAGCAGTTAGTTAGTTGAGACTATACTTTTGTAACCCTGAGAGAATTTATGTATTTGTTGCAGTGCTTTACGAGGGCCTGAAGAGAGCTCAAAGGAGTAGACTTGAGGACCAACGAGGCACAGAAATCAACTTTGAATTACCAGACTTTTTAAAGGTACTTTCTAAATTGCTGCTCCAGGGAGACTCCTATTTGTTTGAAGAGTTTAAACTCAAAAAACAGAAAATTGTAGTTTGTTCTTTTTCCTACACAAGTAAAAAAGTACAACCGTTTGTGTGTATGTTCAAATTCTGTTTCTGGTATGTTTTCACCAGTAGAGTTTAAATATGATGGTATAAAAATTCACACTAACATTAGATTTTAGATCCGTGTGAAAAAGAAAAACAAAACACAACAAAAATCAACTATTTTACATGTGGTGTACAGATTAAGCAACAAAGCATCACCTTTTGGACAGGTTTTTAAGAGTAATCCAAAAATATAATAGTAAGTAACCTTGTCTGTTATTTTACTTGCAGGATAAAGAAAACACTCCACAGACTGGAAAGAAAGTCCGTAAACTCAGGAGAGAATCAGAAGTAACCGGTAACTCAAAATTTTACCAATCGGTGGAACTATCACAAGCTTCAAGCCAAGAGAGTTTAACGGTCTCGAGATCAGTCGACCAAAGCTTCACCAATGACGGGATCATTCCCAGTAATGAGGCAGCAGAGGAGTACTTCCTAGGGGGGGACAGGACACAGACTCCCCCTCCTCTGCCTCCCAAACCCAAGCACTTGCCTCCCACAACATGTTGGCCACCCCAGGCTCAACCTCGTACAAGGCCAGCCAGAGTCTACCTGGATCAGCCCAGCAGCAGCTTCGTATAACAGCCTGTACAGATGTAAATTGTATATTTATTTATTAAATTAGAAATTTACTTTGTACTAATTTCAGTACGGTTGGGTATTAAGTATGATCATCTACATTTTTTAAATCGTTGTGACTGATCTTTTTTTTATAAGAATCAGTTTCTAATTAACCGGTTTAAAATCATAATTCAGCGTTATTGAAAGACTGTGAGATTATCTGATAGCTGTATGTGGTTAAAGATTTTTTAATTATTCTCTTTAAGAGATTAGACTCAAGGTTGGAAAATGAAACAATACAACCTGCATATTGATACACTATACAAACTGGATACTTAAGAGACTTATAAGAATACAAAGTTTCTGTTTAACTGCTTGGCACTTTAATCATCACAAAACTCATTAAAACTTGAGCTATACAAGTTTATACACATGAAATACAATAAGCATTGAAACCCACAGTTGTTATTAGAAATATTACACACATATGTAACTTTTATAAATTCCCAAATCGTTATCCACAATGTTGACTTGAATCAAATAGCAGAAGGTATTACTGTAGATCTTATAGCCTAGGCCCAAGACCAACATAGTTTTTTTTTGTCCCAGAGGCCAATAAAACCGTCCGTTCAAATTCATATTTATGTGTGTCAGTTAGCACAATAACTTGAGAAAAAATCATAAGATATTGATGAAATTTGGTCCTACCTACGTTTATTCAACATTATGGTAGATCAGCCACAAATGATCGAACAACAGGAACGGGGTTTTATGTGGTACAAATTGGTTTTCCCATTTTTGACCCTTACAGCATAACCTTATAACCAATTTATAGTGTGATGCATAGCAGCACGCTATATTTCTTATAGTGTCAGCGCTTCGCGTGGCACGGCTGCATGACGAACTCGTCAGCCCACCGCAAGCTTAAAAACAAATCATTGATTATATTATAGTGATGTTGTATGCTTACCAGTTAAGGAGAAAATTAAAAAGTGTGAGCCTACATTTAAAATCCTCATGTTGAATGTTAAAATCCCCTTATGGAGAAGAAGTAAACTATTGTAGTTTTCTTGTTTCTGGATATATTTTGATCTAATTTGGCAATTGTGTTCATACTTACCTGTAGCAGCAAACCTATAAGTGCTTCTTAAAGTCAAAGTAATTTATCTATCCAGATTATAAAACATGTTGCATTGGCTAAGTTTTAACTAAAAAATTACATTTGATAACTTTATTAAAAACCTAATTTCACTTAAACAGAGAACAAACCTGTCACGTTTTAGGAAATGTTTTAGTTGATAGAGTAGGCTTAGAATACTGACTGACAGACCAGTTAAAATGTTCATCTTACTTTTAAAATGTTAAATAAGACACTCTTCCAATACTATGTTACTTCTAAACACTCTTAACGTCTTTAGCCAGATGACCTTGGTTTTGTTGATTCTTTAACCATTCTTTTTAGATCATCAAAAGTGCGGCATCTTGACATTGCTAGGTACAATGCCCCATGCTGAAAGCAGGGATCTTGCAGATAAAGACAAACTTTTCAAGTCTCTGTCCTTGAATTTTGTAGTAGTCATGGCAAAAGCAATTCGACATGGGAACTGTCGACGTTTGAATTTCAGGGGAAAATTTCCTTCTGATGGTTCTAAGTTTAATTGGGGCAGTAACACTCGTTTTCCAGCTGAACTTCCAGTAATAATTTAAAAACTTAGGACTTAATCATTCACCTCTTTCACCGTTAATCTGGTTCTATTAACCAGTCTTTTTTGTGGATTTAAATTTCTTAGTAAAACTACAATTACACCTTTTTTTAGGCATAACTTGTGAGGAGGTAAACCACTTGGTGCTAAAGTGTGAAGAAATTCATCAGGTACATGTAACTGGTCTCCCTTTTCTTGAATCAAAGTGTCCACTGAGTAGTAAACTCGGCTGTCATCATTTAGTTGCTCAACTATTTTATTGTTTATCTCGTCCCAAAGTTTATTCTTTGGTGAAAGTAGGCCTATCGCATGATTTTTTGTCCTTTTTAAAGCATCTTCCGAGAATCCTTAACTGAAGATTTTGTCAATAATATTTTAATTCACAATACATTGTGGCGGAAGACGTATCAATTACTCACCAAGATCATTATGAATTATTTAATTGGCCTTATTGGCCATTCCCTATTCATAAAAAATATTCAGCAAATATTGAATCGCTTGGATTGGCTCTCATGTTTTTAGCTATTAAAATCTGTTTAAACATTGGCCATAAAGGTGATCTAATTATTGAATTTTCTTCTATTGCACAGCGACTCGCACCAGGTACTATGCAAGCACATTGCCGAAAATCACCTCCCAAAACAATCACCTTTCCACCAAAAGGCTTTTCTTGGTCTTCTCTTCTGGCAATATCTCGCAGTAATCTTTCTACAGACGATAAAGCATACTCATAAGAGCTTCATCCCTTAATATTTCTTTACAACTCCTGATATAAATCTCCCTAATACTTGAATGAAACTGCACAAATAAACTATCCCATTTCATCAGTCATCCTTGTATTGGAAAGTAAACTGATAAATAAACAGAAAAAGTAAATATTTAAATGACATAAGGAAAAGAGGTTAATTTATGAAGACAGATTTTTTTTTTTTAAGAAATGAATCATATGTTTGATAAACTTAACTGAATTGTCACTTATATTTAAAAATACATGGCAACTTTAAGGTCCAATGGGGCGAAGCACATTGAACTGAGCGTGACAAAAATTATTCCATGACTTCTGCAGATAATTCCCTTTAATTTGACACATCAATCATCAAAATCGGTTAATAAATAAAACAGTTTTGCTGTGCACAAGAAATTCCTTACGGAATTAGAATAATAGTTTCTAAAAATGCATGAAACTATTCATCATGGTAACAGGAAGTATTGTGTAAAATTTGGGCTTGATGAGTTAAGTAGTTTTCTTTAGAATGGTACCTAAACTTATAAAAACTAACTTTCGGATCTTCACATTTTGAACCCTTGAAGGGCAGGCTCAGTAGAATCCAGAAGGGCCCTCTTTCAAAAATCCAGGAAAACTATTTTTATTTACAATATTAGACTATGGGTACTCAAATTGTTCAGTTTTTTATCCTAAATGCAAATATGCAGTTTGATTGAAGATAAGACTATTACAAGCTTAGTAAATCAGGAAAACCCGGGAAAATGGGTAGTTTCCTTAATTTATCTTAAGGGAGGATTAAAGATTCCTTCTTATGTAAGAAAATATCCAAAGTATAAAGTGTTATATATTTTCTTAAACAGCACAAAATACACAATATTTTGTGATCATTTGATAAAAGTTAATTTTTTGAGCATTTTCACGCACTGCTCCCCTTAAGTCTTTTTAGATTAAATTGTATAGCCAATTGTGTATGCTTTGACACTATTCGTGTATATAAAGTGAATAAAGATAATTTGATTTGATTTGATTGGGTAGAGCAAAGAATGTAATTTTGCTAGGAGCTGGTTTTCTTTCACCTACAACCAAGTTTCCACAAACTTCCTATGTGAGTCATGAACTGCTTGTGCCCATGTGGGTTACTTATTAAATGTCTTTCAAAACGTTTGTCACCCTTGTACTATTGATTCATATTTTGCATATTATGTTAGAGAGTAATAATAACAGACAATAGGATGATAAGTCAGTAAAATCTCATTCTGTGCTCTATCATACGTCATATAAATCATACTTGGTTGATCAATAGTTTTCAAGTTATAAAATCTGCCCTTTTATTTTGAAACACCCTGTATTTTAATTCCATATTAGTTTTACTCGTATTTATTTATTATTGGCTGACGTAAAATATAAATATCATATTTATTTACTCAGTTGCTTTCTTCCCACAATAATCGAGCAATTTGATATTACCAAGAATTTTGAATATTGACATTGCCCAACAGTTCATTGTGGGCACAAAAGCTAAATAATAGCTTAAATCTTAATGGGAAAAAGGTTTTACCATTTAAATTAATATTTCTAGTTAAATCGGTGCCATGTAAGATAGAATTATAAACTGAAGTGTGATTTTATTGTGTTCATAAATCCTGTGCCTTATGAATCTATAAAATCATCTATCTATCTATCTATATATTATTATAGAAAGTCTAATGGTGTCTGTCTGTATTTGTGTTACTCAATATTGTAAAACCTACTAGACTGGGCTAAAATTTTACAAAAATATAGCTACCATACCAAGAATGGTAATAAGACTATTCACACTTCAACACTGACCGTGGGTTTTGCCCCTATGGCTTTAAAAGTTCTGAGGTGAGGATTTAAAAAGTAAATATTGATTGGTCTCTATGACTGCAATGAGAACACTCACAATGTTTACATTTGCTTTGACATTTTAATCTAAACAAGAAGAACGGCGAAATTGCTTATTTCAAAATTTCAGTCTCCAAAACTTTATCATAGATAATTAATTCTAAAACTATGTCAATCATTAAATAAAAAAAAAATTATATAACCGTTGTTGTATCAACCCAGCTCTGCTTTTGATTTTTTGATGTGTCTTAAGTTATGAAAATAATGTTTTAAATATATTTTCATGGAAACAGTATGATTGCTGAAGAAGACAAAGTCCTAAAACAGCCTCAGTCCAGTAGGGTAGCTCACTGACCTGGAACATCACGACCAACGAACAAAACAGTATGAAAATTACAATGTATAGATTGTTTGTATGAATCTGGTGTTTTTTTTTATGAATTTTAACTGCTTATGTGATGGATTGACATAGCATAACTTGCACTTCACATTGCCTTTTTTTTACATTAAGGTAAATTTAGTAATTGTGCTTTGATACACCTATGCTTAGGCATTAAATTAAACTAAAGAATATCATAAATAACTAAATTGTACAACGTTTATGTGTTCTAAAATCTGTAGTAGGCTATATGTGTAACTATATTTAATTATTAAATGGTAATACAAAAAAATACTCTTATTTTATCTTAAGATAGCTTGCAGTTCACATTTACTTTTATTATTTCATTTCGATAAATTTAAATTTATTATTTGTGCTTTACTACACCGCTGATTAAATTAAACCATGGAATATATCATAAAACTAAGCTGTACACAGTGTTCTTTTGTTTATAAAATCAATGAAATATCTGTTACCATGTTTACTTAATCAATGGTAAGTGTGAAAATGTAAAGGCAATGGACTATGGAACTGACTAAAAGAACTGGTTTGTATATTATGTTGTTTGTTGATATTTTGTATAGTATAATCAGAGATGCAATTAAACATATAGGCTACTGTATTACCGTATTTTATTACTCTTACATTTTTTAGTCCTTGATGTTTTGATAATCATTTTAGTTTTGTCTACTACCTGTAACGCTCAATTTCATTAGTAAATTAAATGATAATATGTACTGAGATATAAAAAATAAATCTTTATTGACATTACTACCTATACGAGCTAATTAATAATTTACAACTTTTATGGTATAGATATTGTTACTTTAATATTTGAAAAGACTATTGATAAGGCCCAACAATATTTCTTAAGTGTATAACAGCTGATGTCAGTGTTGCTAATGATTTATTGTGAGTGAAGAAGGATTTGTGATTTAACAAGTTAAGATTTACCTAAAAAATATGTTCATTTCAATAATTAATTAGTAGTTTTGAAACTTCAAGATTGAAATTTAAAATAGTCAAAATAAAGAAAAAATATATGTAAATAAGGGAGATGAATCATGTATGTAAAAATTTATCCGGAAATATTGTAAGTTTTTCTCATATCAGCTACACTAGATATAAAGTTAATCAAAACCAAAATGGCGGTTTCCACTACTTACCAGATTTAAAAGCCATAAATATTTCTATAAAGGCCACAAAGGTTGGTTTTTGTTTTCTAAAAGTGTTGGCGGATGTGTAACTATTTTATTTAAACAGATGTAAAGATCAAAATCTTTTTTCGTGTCAACAGGTTACAACAGGTAGTAATGTTTTTTTTTCATACTTATAATTCACATCTTTATATTTTTTATGGTCCCAAAAGATTATTTTTTATTTTTAGGAGTCATTTTTTGTGCACATGTATCTATGCTTTTGTCAGTTTAGGTATAAACAATTCTTTGTTTAGTATATTGTGATACTCTTAATATAAATGTGATATGTACTCATTATATACAACAATCACTAATGAAGGTGCCTTTGCTGATTATTTGAAGCTTTAATTCTATCATAAAATATTTAAAAACAAAATTTTTATTAGTGCATGAGCAAACAACAAGATTTTCTTAGCTAAGTAAAGTCTACGCTAAGTTATTATAAATAAGTTCATACTAAAATGTGTGCCAGTTAAATGGTTTTAAAAGGAATTTTAAGTGTGTTGTCAACCTTGTCAACATTAACAAATGCATTGCAATTGTCTTGCTCATAAATTACTCCTTTAAAATCATCTCAAGAGATAATTTTTTAGTTCATGTACATGACTTATTGCATATCTCATATTGCAGGCTATAACACTTCAAACAACTGTAAGAATATGAATCAATATGACTGGGGTAAAAATTCTTTACCAAGCATCTAATTTGTTGTTTTCACATTATTTTAACACAATCATAAAAAGTTGCCCATAAGTCTTTAGAATCAAAATTATTTGGCATGATAGTGAAGTAGATGGTCTTTAGGTCTTCTACAGTTTGATTCAAATCTAATCTGCAGCAATTTAAGTATTTTAATTTTTTACATACTTGCAGTATATGCCTTGATACATATTTTTTGTACATAGTATATATTATATTTTGTTACTTTAATACATTTTTTAAATACCTTGTGTCTACAATTTTATTACCCTCAAATTCCTCTCTTTCTTGGTTGATTAACTCCAAACTACGTCTTCCAATGATTCAAAACCTACCAGTTTTATAGATGTCTCTCAAATATCCCAAACTAAAAAAAAAAATATACTCTTTATGATTGAGCTTGTCTCCTGACCCTTTGTCTAACTGGAACTGGACAGCAATGCTTTGGTTTAAGGCCCAGGTAGACAAAGGGCTAGGAGACAGGCTCCACCAAACAGACGAAGCACACAACTAAGTCACTAGGTGTTCTTTTATCTATTAATTAAACTACTAGTGTACCTGTTGCTCGAATTCGAGCAATTGCGAAGCATTACAGGCGTTTTTTAAAAACGAATAACAGTTTATAATTTCCGATGACTTTATAAGAGTCGACTCAAAGATTATGGAAATACTCAAGAAGTACACAACAGTTAGATATAATCAAATATTTTTGTAAATATCTCATCTTTTTTCAAAAGCTGATCTAGTTTTTTAGTGTTTTCTACAAATGTTTCCCTCTCATATCAATTATTATCAATTATCAATCATTAAGATGGGGACGACACTTAGGTGCGTATTTTAACCCAAATATGAGCGAAGGATGAGTGTAGAATGGTGTGAGATGATCTGTGTAGCTTTGTTACTGACTAAGATCAGCTGTTTCATTAGCCAGGATCATTTATTTAAAGCCCAATGATCAGGAACAGCTGGGTCCAGTTTCAAACCATCAAAAAGCTACTGACTTTTCTCAGGATCGAACCGGCGACCTTTTGATTAGTAGGCGAGCACTATAACCACTCAGCTACCCAGCCAGTTAGATTTTCTATAATAAAGATTACGGTATAAATAAAAAATAAAAAAAACATTTATATTTCTTCTACTTGGTTGTGTTTTTTGACTTTCCTATGTTTCCATTGTTTGCAAATCGGCTCTTTCAATGATTGCTCAAGAAATGTAGCACAGTGTTAATTCAGTTTTATTTTTAGTATATCAAATTGTCCCGGAATACTCGCTTTTTTCCATTGAAATAATTACACCAACTCAAATATCGTCTACAGATGCAATACGCCGAAGAATATTGTCTACGTGCAACACGCCTACGTACAATCTCCAAGAAGTGGTAAAAAAGGCAGTAACCAACCCATACGATAGGTATAAGTTAACTCCATAAGAAATAATTTTAAGAGTTACTGTGATATCAGGATTTTCCACTGATTTGGTAATAGAACATTATATTGCAAAACATGACACGATGCAGAAGAAAATCGATTTAAAAAACTGAAAAACCATTGCAAATCATTTTGACAAATTCAGTAAATCACAATCTAAACATTAACAGCTGTTTCATTAAAAAGTAGTGTAAAATTATGCATATGGTCGTAATGTAAAAAAATCTGCTGAGCGAACTTAAAAGGCCTCTGGGGCAGAGCTCCAAGAAAATGTACCTCGTTTATCTTTTCATGGCTCATCTACAGACCAAGACCTTTCTTTAGAGACCCCTACCAAGTTTCTACGCCCAGCCGTTCTCTCAAATTAGCTGTGACAAAAACCCTGTTTTCCTCCATAAGAATAACATGGGATGGGAATTTAAAGGCCACTGGGGCAGAGCCCCAAGGGAATTCACCATGTTTCTCTTTTGATGGCTCATCTACAGACCAAGACCTTTCTTTAGACACCTCTACCGAGTTTCTACGCCCAGCCGTTCTCTCAAATTAGCTGTCACAAAGAAAACCAGTTTCATATTAATATATAGACTAGGTGAATCCCGTCGAAATCGACAGTTACTCTTGAATTTTTAGGTAAATTCAGCTAACTGCAATGGATAGAGTGAAGTTATTAAAATCTGTATTAAACATAATTATGAATAAGAGGATTGTGTACCTTAAAAAACGTGGTTAATGAATTCGTTGAAATCAATATTTTCCGTCCTTAAGTTACCCAAAAGGCTTTTCAGGAGTCTTACAATTGTTTCTTGTTCATGACTTATGTTCATGTTAAAACCTCTTTCACTATATGGAGAAAGGAGTTCATTAATTGGTCTGTCATCTGACGGAAAGAGTCAATATTACCAAAGATTACATATGCTAACGCAAAATACCAATATTACTAAAATAACTGGTTCCATCTGCTTTATGAAAATCATTTAGATTGTATTTGGGTTGTATAAGTGAATCACCATCTTTGGTCATAAAAATACAGAATTTTATTAGCGGGAGGCATATTAAATCTGTTTTTTTTATTTAAATATTAAATATTTAAAAATATCTGATTCTCCAGAAAGCAGTAACATTCTTACTTCGATGAGGGTCCAAACAATTAATTTTGATTCCTTCTCTTGCCACATCAACCAATGTATTTAATCTTAATGTACTTATTCGCTAATTGATTAACTTCTGGCGTAGTTTTGTGAAATCGTGCCATGAAATTGCTGTCAAACTTCAACTTTATTGATATGCGAGGGTCAATTGCCTTGGCCGTATGGATCACATAAAGTTGTGCATGTATTTTGTGGATGGAATGGACCATAATTGTAGTGAATTTGGACACAAATCTTGAACATTTGCGGAACCACATCCATAACCTAGTCCGGCTTTGTTGGCAACCAATTATGCAAAAGAGATGAGATGTGATGGCACTGTTTTATTTAATTAATACCTGAATTGCATTCAATTCACCTACTTCACCAAAACCATAAATAAAACATACTCCGTGGTAAAAACTTGAACACTAACACAGCTGCACAGCTCTCACATCCTCAACGTACTCATCTACATTTGCATGGCTTTTATTCTATGACACAATTTTGTACCTGATTATCGAAAACTTTTATGCTAATAATCTCACAAACCTCTGACGTTCTTTCTTGAATGTAATGATAAGGTTATTGAAAGTACACAAAAAAGGCAAGCACCAACCCCTACAATAAATATAAGCTAACCCGATAAGGAATAATTATCTGTTCCTTTGAAATTGATATGTCCCAGTGATTTCATAATACAGTACAACATTTTTATAAGTGCATTAAAACATAGATTTAGAAAAAAAAATAATAAAACGTACCTATCTTAAATTCATCATTTCATTCAAACTATAAAAACTTGCCAAGCAGTGGAAAAATCTTTTTCAATCATAAATAATAATGTAAACATTTCATTTTGACAGATTCAGTAAATGCTCATAACAGCTGGTTTATTAAAGTAGTGTTAAATTATCCATATGGCCGTAATGTAAACAAATCTGCTGAGGGAACTTTAAAAGCCTCTGGGGCGGAGCCCCAAGGGAATTAACCTAGTTTCTCTTTTGATGGCTCATCTACAGACCAAGACCATTCTTAGGACACCCCTACCAAGTTTCTACGCCCAGCCGTTCTCTCAAATTAGCTGTGACAAAAACCCCGTTTTCCTCCATAAGAATAACATGGGATGGGAATTTAAAGGCCACTGGGGCAGAGCCCCTAGGGAATTCACCATGTTTCTCTTTTGATGGCTCATCTACATATCAAGACCTTTCTTTAGAGACCCCTAACGAGTTTCTACACCCAGCCGTTCTCTCAAATTAGCTGTCACAAAGAAAAACAGTTTCAAATTAATATATAGATTTTAATTAAATAATCATTTCTAAACAAGATAGTGTTTATTATCCAAATTCATAACATAACATGAAAATCAACAACTAGAGATCAGCTGGTTATAGCAATACCAACATCTCCCTCTTTAACTTTTAAATGGACGAATGAATCTTCTATTGCGTCTAAATAGTCTTCCTTCAATTGCTACAATGTAAGTTCTCAACCCATCCACGGTTACTATTACGCCAGGCGTCCACGGTTCTGCTTTCATGTCTGGTCTCTTCTGTATTAATACCTTTTGCCCAACTTTAAGTGGGTCCAATGCATGAGTGCCTTTATCATAGTGCTTCTTGTATTTTTCTTGTTTTTCCTTCAACTTGTCTGTGACTCCTATGTGTATCTTTGGATTTAGTTTCATCTCTGTTACTGGCAAACGAGTCTTTGTTAATCTTGACATTAATAACTGCACAGGACTTGCACCCAAGTCAGCCAGTGGTGTATTTCTCCACTCTAATAGAGCTGCTTGAAAGTCTTCTTTACTTTCTTTAACATTCTCTTAGCAATTTTAACCGCTGATTCTGCCTTATTATTGGATTGGTGACTATGCAGTGAAGAAACAACAATTTTGAACATCCAAGTCTGGGCAAAAAGCTTGAAGTCTTGGCTAACAAGTTGGGTACCACTGTCAGAAACAACAACGTCTGGTATTCCGTAGCAAGCAAATTGTTCTTTACAAAACTGAATCAGGCCTTCTGTTTTCAGTGAATTCACTTTCTTTAGTTCAAAAAATGATGAAAAATAATCCGTCATTAAGAAAGTGGTCACTGCCCAGCTGGAAGAAGTCAATTCCAACTCTTTGCCATGCTCTAGTTGCAGTATTATGAGGCTGTAAGGGTTAGGATTTCTGAGCTAGAGCACACTTTTGGCAAGGCCAACATGTTTCAACAGTTCTTTGAACATCTCCAGCCATTCCCGGCCAAAATAACACCTCTCTTGCTCTTCTTAAACAAGACTCAACTCCTTGGTGAGAAGAATGTAAAATTTTAAGCATGGCAGGTCTCAAAGAACGTGGAACTACTATACGGTCTCCTTTTATTACGATTCCATCTATCGCTGATAGTTCATCTCTAACACTCCAGTATTCCTGTAGGTCTTGAGGAACATGAGTACGTTTATCAGGCCACCCTTTTTTAATTGTGTCCACGGATTATTCATAACATGGCATTTGCTTGACTCTTCTTTTATCTCCTTGATCCTCTCATCGGTAATATTAATGTTGTCTAAATCGTTAATGTTCTCTAACTCTGCTTGGAAGATAAGGTCGTCAACTGTTTCTCTGCCGGTTACTTTAAGAGGCGATCTGGACAGAAAATCTGTGACATGCATTGATGTGCCTGGCTTGTATTGTACACAAAAGCTGTA